GATATTTTTATTAACAATGGGCTAATCACTATATGTTAAAAAAATATTCAGTTACCTTGTACCTATCTTTAATAAACTATTAAAATGGATCACATTTTTGTTCAACCCGGCATTAGAGTAATATATATAAATTACAATATTACCGTATACGTATTCTATACAAGTATTATAATGTATGATTTTCTAATATTAATATTACGTCATATATTATAGATATAGATCACAGATAGCATCCTAATGCGATTTATACACAGAGCAAAGACATAAAAGAGGAAATAATTACTAGGTATAGGTACCTACTACGTTGTATACGATACAATGATTATTTCATATTGCATTGAATTTTAATCTAAATATGTAATTTCGGATTTCCATAAAATATTTTACGTATGTATTACACTACAATGTGTAGAACCACTTATTTATTTAAAATACTCTATGAATATTGAATACCAATAATAAAATAAAAACTTTTCAAGTTTTCAAGTGACCATAATAATCAATATATTATGAAGAATATATTTATTAAACAATTTAGCTTTTTAAACATTTCTATTGAAATCCAATAGGAATATAAGCATCTTGAAACACCACAGAGTTTTAATTAAAGCGTCTGCCCCAAGTAATATCATATAGGTACCTATTTATATATGTGACTTTTATACCAGTGTGCCTTAATACTTGGCTAAAATATATAGACGTATATAGTGTAATTATTATACAAACCAATGTAGGTACCTATCGATCCAATTAATACACATTTATCCATAGCCACGCCACAATTGCCACATACATTGGAGCAATTTCAACTTTTGACTTGGGTGGGGGGGCTGAATATATTAAAGGCAAGCAGACCATTGCAATATAACATATTCAAAGTGTATGTCCTAGGTTTTTTTAGGGGGGGGCTTAGCACCCCCCCCCCACAATTTACGCTTATGGCCACTTAGGTACAAATATTATATTGTATGAGCTTAACTATTATTATTATTTAAGGGAACTAGACCCTGCAATTTTTCGTCGTCTTGAAAAACGTATTTTTGTCGACTTGCCGGATGTCCAAGCTAGAAAAGATATGTTTGCATACTATCTATCGGAAATGTTACAAAAACACAAATATATCAAATGCGATATAGATAGTGACAGCCTTGCTCAAGTACGCAATAAGACATAAGTAATGAATGTAATAATAATATAAATAATACATATTTTTATTTTTAGGAAACCAATGGTTATTCTGGTTCTGATATAAGACTTGTATGTAAAGAAACAGCAATGCAGGCTATGCGTTCAATATTCCAAGTTTTAGAAAAAAAGCCAGGTAATAATATCAATTTTACAATAACGACTAAAGAAGTTATCAATGCAATTTCAAAAACTAAACCATCAACAAGTGAGGCAGATAATAATAAATATAAAATTTGGCAATCACAATATGCATCATGTTAATTTAAATAATAATTATTTATCTCTAAGTACTATAATATAAATATATAGACACAAACATTTTTGTTTTTGTTGTTTTAAAATAATTATATATAGGTACCTTTGTGAATTTGTGATCAAAAATATATCAAATAAATAATATAAATGAATATAAACAATTATAATACCTAACACAGTAACACGTATTCTTTTTTTGTCGTGTTCGTTAATCATGTTCTGGACAACGTTCTTACTTCTTATGAAAGAACATTTTAGGAAAATCCACCAAAAAAGTATGAAATATGGATGTCAAAAATACAACAGTGGCGCCATCTGTCCAGAAAAAAAATAAACTAAATAATAAAAATTTAGTTTATTGTTGCAGATTAAAATAATAATTGTGTAATATACTCAAAGTGGATATAGGTATAAATATCCACCTTGATTATACTATTATATTATATTGATTGCTATTGGTTTTTATCGGGCATGTTTGTTGATTTGTATTATTATTTTTCGTCAATTTACATACATATATAGGTATATAATATAAATGAATGTTTGTGGGTAGATTAGATGTCTGGGAAGAAGATAGGCTAAATTAAAAAGGGTTAAATTTGGTTTTTTTTTCACCGGATTTTAGGACGGTTAGGTTAGAATACGATTTTGTATCTATTGATTATATTAATCCACCGTAGGTGGAATTAAGTAAAAACGACAAACTTGATATAACTTGATACTTTGAGTTAAATCATACACTTATGTACAAACAGCACGGGGTCCGCGATCTACTGCAGGTAGATTGGACTACCTGATAATGTACTGCTGCGAATCAGAATTTTTATTCCGGGTTACAGAAAAGTTAAGATAAATTTTGAACACTATACACCGAATATTAAATAACGAATTGAACACAGTTTGAGTCATTTATAGAGTTGGTACATTTAACGGGCAATGAAGTCCACGGGATCAGCTAGTAATATTATATGATTGTAGGTACATTTATAAAAAAGGTTAGGTTTCAAACATATCTAAGAAATAAATATTAAGTTTATAGTCACTTACCATTTTTATATTAAATTTACCGTGTATTTATGTAATCCTTCGCCAGACGCCCAAGTACTTTTAATTTCAAATTGTTTAGCGCAGACTCGATGGATCTTTATAAAAATCATTCCCAAAGCTTTTTCCCATTTTTGGGAACACGTAACAGTACATAAATTATTAATGCAAAATATCAGTATTTATAGCTCAGTTAATAGCACCTATCTAAAGCTGTGATTGATAGTAATATAAGTATTTAAATTGATATTATGATTTATAGAACTTATTTTATTTTTGGCGACATTTTTTGAATATCAAATAATAAGGTTAGGTTAGTTTTATAATATAAAAGATTCAAATATTGATAGAATCAAAATATTAAAACAGTAAGGTTTTAAACTGATAGATAGCGCTGCAGAATCTTAGGTAAAATCAGCTGATTGTGAGAACATTTGTGGTACACAAACGTCTTGTCGTAAGTTATACACAGATCACAGTACTGCCTAATTTACACAATTAAAGATATACATTTTGCAAATCGACTACTGAAAGTGAAATACGAAATGACTACCAATAGGCAATAATTAACCAGTGGCGTTCCAAGCGGCAGTATTACAATTATCCAAATAAAGATAAAGAGGTGTAAAATTAGTTCTAAATGTCGACACATATGGTTGAGCGTTGACATCAAGCGCCACTAGTTAATTCTTAACAGCCGTTTTATATAGTCACTTTGTAAATCAATCTGAAAGTCTTTGTGAACATGAACAAAGGCCGTGCTTTTAAATCATGGATCATTTTTTTAGCCATGTTTTAAACGTGAGTAACACGGACTAATTAGAGGTTCCTTATTAACACTTATCAAATATTCCTCATAAATAAACTATACACAATATAGTCAACATTCTCAGATAATAAAATAAGAGACAAATTTTTTTTTAATTATTAGACGACAAGACTTATACGAAATATGTAACTAGACAGTGCTGTCATAAACTGGCCAATTAGAGCATTCAAAGCATTCAAATTGGTGTAAAAAAGTAAAATAATAAATATAATACAATAGTAGGCCTGGTCGCGATTTTTCAAATTTTCCGCAATTCTATAAAATTTGAAAATTAAATTTTATATTTTAGTTGCCACCTCAATTATAAGACTTTTCCACTAATCTACTACCCAATACCTATTTAGGGGGGGGGGGGTCGATAGGGTGTATTATATCGGTCAAAACACAGTTTACAGGAAAAACTCTCACCCCTCGTGGATTGGTCCGATTTTCGTAATTTTTTTTTGTTAGATAGAGGAATATTTTTTACAGGGCGCATTGGACTTCGATTTTTGATTACGTCGCTAAAAACAAAAAATAATACAAAAACTAAAAAGTTGTAAAAATTGATTAAATTCAAACTTGTAACATAAGACTTAGCAAAATAATTTTGAAAATCCAAGTCCAATGCGCCCTGTAAGAAGTCTTCCTCTATCTAACAAAAAAAAATTACGGAAATCGGACCAATTTACGAGGCGTGAGAGTTTTTCCTGTAAGGCATGTTTTTGAGCAAAAAAACAGGTCGCGTGCAGGCCCCTTAATTCTGTTTTAACCACCAATATTAATTGTATTCAATTTAAAATAATTGTAAATATCTGCTAATGCAGCCAAAATTCCAATATCAATTTAAAAAATAAATATATAAATAATGGATACTTGACAATTCATTTTTATGTATATTTATTGTAATGGAATTGTAATTTCAAATACAATATTCAATTGAATTAACTTGAAAACATACAATTTTGGGGCACTTAATACTAAAACACAAAGAATTTCCTAACATAACATTTTTTTTACAACTAAAAACTTTCTAGTTGCGTTTAGTATTCAAAACTTAATTTTATTTAAATACATTTAAAAATACTTACCAGTAAATTAAATTCACTCAACAGACGATATAAATATAAAATACATGGCGATAACTGACTTTATGATTATAAATCAATTTATAGAGAAATTATTATCAATTCATTTTTAGTTCATTGAAAATACCTACTAGTCAAGTAAAACTATTATTTACAATAAAAAGAAATAAATTGACAATTTTGTGATTTTGAAGAATTAAATTTTAATATAATATACTAAATAATTTATTAGGGTTACTATTAAGCAACTTTAATATTTTATATTTAGTTCTTGACCAAAATAACCTATTAATAGGTTTTAACAAAAAAATCAAATTTATATACAGTATGCTTGGACATAATCACGATAAAATTCATTAAAAAAAAAAAATTTAAATGACAAGGTTTTCTCTATTTATAATATTATTACATTATAACCAACATGTAGGTAAACATACTTAAATGTTGATGTAATGTAGTAATCAGCTTCTTTCTTATAAATAAACACAAACACAATGTGTATTTTATAGCTTATAATAGTAGTTTATTATTAATAAGAATAAGAATGATTAGAAATAGTTTGAGGAGCATAAGTGAACATATGTCACCAGTGATGATCCAGTCAAATAATAATACGTTCAGTTGCGCCTGTAAGGATGGTATGGTTGTGCTTGGTTTGAATTATAATTATTCGCTCTGGTTGGTCCTGGGGCGTTATTGTACGTCGCCGCCGGTACTCCGGCGGAAACGACTGGCGTCACTACTGGGGCCACTAAATTATAGAAAGTTGACAATTTAAATACCTAATTTTCAATTTCCATTTTTTCTTTTGAAAAAATAGAACATTAAATAGATAGAAAAGAATAGGCAACACTGCAAGTAAGAAAAATTATGTATATATATATAAAAAAAAATGGCCGACTTTCATAACTGAATGACATTGTTTACTTAAGATTGATGGAGACAATAGAAAATGATTTTTATTTCCAGTTTAAATAAGTATGGGAAAACACATTTACTTACAACTCGCAATGTCGCCCAAAAAAATAGGAGGGGAATTAATTAATAATGGACACTTCAATTGTTTGTATTGTTTTTTTAATATTTAAACAATTATTATTATTATTATTATTATATTATTATTTTGTTTTAAATCACGCCAAAAGCGACCTTCTACATCATTGAAAAAATACTAACTGACAATAAATAATAGGATTTTTTCTCAAAATAAAAATTGTTACAGGCTAAAGTATTAATAATAAAGCTCAAATTTGTTTTTTTTCACAAAATAATTAAACATTCATAAATAATAAATAAAACGAGAAATATATAAATAAATATCTATATAAATATTTCATAGCTTTTGTCACAGGTTAAAAAAGTTCTCAATCGTGTCCTATCCGTCGAATATATAAAATGTCTTGATAAAAAAAAATTCAATAATTAAAACAAATTCTTATTTAAGACCATAACAACTGTAAACCTAGACTTATTTTGTACAAAAAATATGCTTATAACTCATCACATTTAAGTCGTTAATTCTTTAAAAATATAGTTTTGGTAAAAATCATTTTTTGAGAGTAATGTTCTCAAAAAATAAAAATTATTATTACTAAGAAAATGTCATCCTATAAGTAAATACAGATAATATTACTTTAAAGTTTATCCACTAATTGTGTAATCTTAAGTTTATTATTAAATTTTAAAAATAGTGACTTTATAAAAAAAACCAGTAACTTACTAGGACGAGCTTCTGTTATATATTATATATAAATATATATATATTAAAAAAAAAAAAATGACAAATAGTCGGGACAAGATATTTAAAGTAACCTTGACTTATTCATTAAATAATTCAACTTCTACTTAAAAATGAAAACAACACTTATTTTTTAAACGATTCGAGAATCTTCCTTAAGCCTGTATGTACATTAAAATTTTTTTACCAATTAATCAGTCCAGTGGTTCTTTAGCTATCTATTACAATGTGATTTTTAAAAGTAATTTTATAAACCTAAGAGCTTGAAATTTACCCGAATTTTGTTAATATTATTTATATTCCTTAACCCGATTCCCTTCACACTAAGTTATAAAATAATTATATTCGAAATATTTTAGATGTACTGCCTAGTCTCACTTTTGGTTTCACCTTAAAAAAACATGGTGCCGTTACTTTTTTTTACTTAAGACCAAAGAAAAAAATAAACAAACTATGATAACAATTGTCATATGTCTAAAAGAAAAAAAAACAGGCTAAATTAAATATATAATAATAATAAAAAAAAAACCATTAGAATCTAGGGAAATAATAATTATTACGCTAAGTTCCATTTGTTATTCGAGTATAAGTTAAATAGTATTATGTAGTAATTATAAATAGATTGTATTAATATAGATATTTAATATATAATTCTATTATATACGTAAGAATTACAAATATTAATCGATACTATAATATTCCTAAATTTTTCTTTTTTTTAAGTTATATTATTTTTAATTGTTTCGTTATTATAATAATTGTGTTACCCAAACCAGTGAATATTGAGAGAAGTGTTAATTGAATTCAATCAGTCATGAAGTGGGCCATTCTTTAAAGTCAAATGGCTTACCATACCCACCGCCAGACCCGAGGCCAGCGGCTGTGCCGTCCGCCCCTCTATAAGTTTGGCCTGCACCATAGCTGGTCGAATCCTAAAAATATAATTTACTCCAATATTATCCCATAACAAAACGTAAAATTATGTATCTATTACTACTGCTATCACTACATCTACTATTATTACTACAACTAACTACCATTATTATTGATTACTAAAAAAAAACAACAACAACAATAATTAATGATAATAATAATAAATAAAATGATAACAAACTTAAAATTAAATTAAGTGTTATCTGCCTTTCAAAATAATGATACCGTAGAGATGTAAAAAGAATAAAACTTATATTTCTTTTCAATAAATGAGTAGTATGTAAATTGTATTTGATATTAAATAGGTACAGTCAATAGGAAAACAAAAAAAAAAAACATTTTAAATTCACAGAACCATAAGAAAAATATAATTTCATTTCATTAAGATACCATCGGATTAAGCAGAATTTTAAAAGGCAGTAAAGCTTAATTTAATTAGAACATGTGCAAATTGTACGGCCTTTATATTTATAAATTTTTTTTATTAACTAAGATAAGGTTTAAATTTTAAATGAAATAAGTTTAATTAACTTCTTTTAACTAACATTTAGTATCAAAGATTAACAAAAAATATTTGAATAAAAATGTATTTTTAATTTATTGATATTATTAACAATGACAATTAAATTTGTTATTGTAATTGTTGTAAATGAAAATATTAAAATGATTTTTTGTTTATTTGGAATGATGAGATTCATAAAAAATTACCTATGAAATAAAATCTCAAACATTTCAAATAAAATCTTAATTCTTAAATATGGAGGATATAAAAATACTTAGTTGTTAAATAAATTTAAATAATGAAATAAAGTTCAACCCATTTACTTATTAATAAAATTTGAGAATACAAAAAAAATATTAATTTGATATAAGTTATCTTAAAATAAATTATGTAGATTAAATATCATTAAAAATATCAAAAATAGTTTTGATAAAAATCTTAATTATATGGAAATAATGCATATAATAAAAAATTAACATATTAACAATATTAACAATATTATTAATATTAGAAGTGTTTAAAATTATAATTAACCAACTACTAGTACAACATAATACCTTAGTAGTTAGTACATATTAAAACCATTTAGTAATTTATTATTTAATTACAAAACCTTAATTTATAATTATGACTAAACATAATGCATAACCAAAACAGTTAAAATTTTTATATTTAAGAAATATTCTTTTATTAAAGCTAACTGTTAAAAAAAAAAAAAAAAACAATTTTATTGTTATTGTTTTTAAACCATCTACCCATTTTTAATTTTTAACCAGGGCCTAATGCCGCAAATATAATAAATTTTAGATTTAATATATATGATTATAATATTGAGGAATATTCTTAGACAAACTCTTTTCCATATAATAACTTAAAAACATTAATAATAACAATAATATTGATGTAACATGAAATCATATTTTAACTTAATTTTTAAGTACTTAAACTTCAAAATATAATCCTCATACATAGATGAAAATTAAAATAGTTCTGAACAATTAGGTAACATATAAAAATTAGATTTATATGCAAATAAATTAAGGTACACAACTTCTGATTGTGTTTGTCACATTTAATTGTCTCATTGTACTTAAATGTTCATGAAGTTAAAGCTGTTTTGGGGTTAGTGAATTATTATGATAAATGTTATTATAAATATGTCTTTTAAAGTGAGTACCGTGTATGCTCTACTTAAGAATAATGTCAAATTCCATTAGGGCACGGAACAAAACATATACTATAACATTAGATGGAATAAATAAAAATTACAAATATGTTTTTAACTTTCTTTAAGTATTATCATAAGTTAATTAAATAAGATTTCATTGTTATACAATAGTTAGTTTTAAAATCATTATTGAATAATTCAACTTTAGGAAAAATGTCAACTACAACCATTGATAATAAATACTATTACAACTGACATTCACCTAAGTATGAGTAAACATTCAAATCACTATCAAGTACTAAGAGATAGCTTAATCAGTTATAAAAAATCAGCTATCCAATTAAACTTAATTTTGTGATTACAAATATATTCTACAAATAACACTTAACACAAAATAATTTAATTATTATATGAACATTTTTTATTTCAACTTGTACATTTAAATAGTTTAAATAAATTAGGTTTAAAAACATTTTAAACTTTTCATTTAAAATAAATCAAGAAATTGAATAGTTATTTTTTAATAATTAAGTTATATGTTGGGTTTAATATATTATAATTTTAAATGCATAAATTATTTAAAACCATACAATTTACATTGTCCTATATTTTTAGTTTTAAAATATATTCTATAATAGAAAAATTAATAATAATTACATAAAACATTTTAAATGAATTAAGGAACTAAAAGATCTTTATAAATTATTCAATAAATCATACCTGTTGATAGCCAGTGTAATTTCCGTAGCCAGCATAATCACCAGCTTTTTGTGGGGCAGTTCCAGGCGGAGTCGGTCCAGTGGCTGGTGCTGCTCCAGCAGAACGAGAATACATATCATCTGATTATATGAGAATTTAATAACACAATGGAATGATTTATAAAAAAATAAAAATATAGCTTACTTTGAGGTCCTGGCCCAGTTTGTCCAGGAGGTCCAGTAGCTGCCGCAGGTCCATTCTGGGGTATATTCCAATTCCAGTTATTTCCGTAACTTGACTGTGGGGGTGCTTGAGGTGCTAAATATTTATACAATAAAAATATAGAAAATTAATTTAATGCTAAGTTTAATGTGTTTACCATATGAACCGTATCCAGGTTGTTGAGGTGGAGCATAGTTTGAACCCCAAGTTGGAGGAGCCATTCCTTGACCTTGCGGTCCAGGTGGAGCTCCCCAACCTTGAAATCCACCAGGACCAGATGGAGTGCCATAACCGGGGTACTGAGATTGAGGAGTAGAACTCCATCCTCCTTGATAGCCTTGCATCATATTTCCTGGACCCATAGGCCCCATTCCACCCATGGGACCTCCCATTTGTCCACCTGGGCCACCCATGCCCATTCCCTAAAAACATAACTCATTAATAAATATTTAAAATAATTTAACTTTTTAATGGAAATAAACTGTGCCTATTTAAGGCAGGAATTAATTAGGAGTTAACTCAATGTTTAACAGATTTATCAACAATAAAAATAAAATATTAGTTAAAACAATATCAGAAAAGCCTTGGTACAAAATTTTTTACAATAGTGTGGTCACATAAGTGGTTTACTACAAATTATGTGTAAATTAACTTTTATCATTTAAAATTGTTTTTAAGTATATTAAGTTATACAACTTACACCCATTGCTAAATGATTATTTTGATTCATGCCCCACTGATTGGCTCCAACATCATTCATTTTATTGGAATCTCTTGGTTCGGCTTTTTTAATTTCAACCTGAAACATAACAATATTTAATATGAATATTAAGTATTTAAGTTTTGATAATATTAACTGTTGATATATTATCATATAAACTATAAAAGCATATTAAATAATTTATACTTAGCAATAACTGAATATATATATGATTATTACTATAGTAGGTAAAACAGATTAATTCTATAATAATATATTATAATGTATTATTGTTTCTATATATATATCTTTAAACATTAACTTAAAATTATCTCTTAAAGTATGATTACATATTATAATTTTAAAAATATCCTTAGAGAAATAATATATAATTAAGATAAATATCTTTAAAATATGACAAGTAAAATTCTGCTTAATTTATGTTTTCACACTAAAAATTAATTATTTAGTAGAATAAATAAACACATCTAACTTTGTTATTGGCGTAAAAATGCATTCAATAAATTAAAAATCAAAGAAATAACATTTTGTTGAAAAAATTAGTCAATGTCTATTAATTTGTCATTAACCTTTTCACTGCTATGTGTTTTTTATAATACAATATATTATATGTATTATAGTATTTAAATTTCAGTAAGAATAAAATTGAATTAAAATAGTTAAGTGTAATCTTTTACATCCTTGTACCAGTTGTAAACAAATGTATAAAATATATTATTTAACAGTTACTTAACTTTTTAGTCAAACAATATTTTACAAAAGGATATAACATAATTTAGCAAATATCCATTGTTTTAAATTTGGTAGAATTACATTTTAATAAATTGTATATTCAAATAGTTTAACCTTGACTACAGTTTTGTTTATCTATCGTGGAATTTTGTTCAATTCACATAAAAACAAACAGTCTTCTTTTGATAATTATTAATCTAAGTATGTCTACTATAAGTTGAAAAACTAAAAATAATATTTGATAACATGTATCATGTTATCAATGTTTGACATTTTAGAATGGAACAATATTAAATAAAATAAAACTTTTTTTGGTGATAGTAAAAATATTGCTGAATAGATAACATAATATGCAGTTATAACATTATAGTACAATACAGGCAGTGAAAGGGTCTAACATGATTTAGTTAAATTTATTTCATCATCATTATTATCATATATAAATTGAAACAATCAAGTATCAAAAGAAAAATATAAATAAATAGATAAACCATGGTAAAACAAGTAACTTTGAATTAAAAATTATCAAGTAGTTTCTATTGTAGGTTGAAAGCAGAAATGGATGTCAAATCAAAAAAGTAATATATCTGTTTGGGATCAACACATTTTTAATATTCAAAGTTACCCAACTTTACAATTAGGTATTGGATTTTATTTACTAAAATAATAATACCTGTTTGCCACTAAGGTTGACAAAATGCTCGGCTACACATCTATCAACAGCATCATCATCTTCAAACGACAAAAATCCAAACCCTAAAAACACCATTGGTTACGTTATGGTGAAAATTCAACACCATGTTGACACTGCTAATAAGCTATTATTTAGTAATTTCTACAATACATATATTATGTAATTAAAAGTAATTATGAAAATGATTGTAATAGTAAAAGATGTTGAAGAAATTAAATTACAGCGTAATAGTTTTAAAATAAAAAACTGATTAAGAGGATGCATGCAGAGTCCTTCAGTCTTTGTATTAACAACACACATATATTAATTAAATTTGAGACGTTAATTTTATTATAAGAATGAATGGACCTATGATTGGCCTAAACGATTTAAGTTAAAGGTAATAATATTATCAAACGCACATTGATGGCTTCAATTGATATTTCAACTATCAAGCAAGAATTAGAATTGTAATATTTTTTTTTTCAATTCATCGTAATATGAAAATTAACAACTCAAAATAGATTCTTAAGAATTTATTAAAATATTCTATATTGTGTTTTAATGCAACATCATAATTATCACTTTTAGTCAAGCCCACCTGGATAAGAAGTTTATTGTATTATAATCAACAACACTAATATAATAAGTTTAAAATGCTCGAATTATGGGTAAATAGTATTCAAGGTAAATTATCAAGAAAAATTAAATTACTCACGGGAAATTAAAAAGCAAAAAATGCCAACGATACAAGTAAGAATTTGTTTGTTTATATTAAATTTAAAATTGTATGTTTACCTACATAACACTTTAAATGAAAAATAGTAATATAATACAAATACCTTTTAACATACAATAGGTGAAAGTTTATATGGATAAATCCTTACATTAATTATTATTATAAAATAATGAACTAATATACTGATGGTAAGTTAATAAAATATCATATAGAAGAAAATCACCAAAATTTTGATATTAGTAGCAGTGTTATAATAATAATTTAAATTAAGTTACATAAATAGGTGTATAAACAAACATAAAAGATATAATCACATTTTTAACATCTTAATATAATAATATAATAGAACTAGTACATTATATTTACGAAACAAAAACAGATGGGTAATATTAAAGATTAAGAAAATTAAAAAAAAAGTTATTTCAATAAGTAATACTATTGAGAATACATGTAAAAAATACTGAAAAAGTTGGTTCAAAAGTGTAAATAAATGTTAGTATACTATATATACTCAATAGTAATACAGTCAAATACTTAGTTCTAAGTTTCATAAATTGTAGATTTATGGTATAGATAATAAATTCTATTGAACAAAACAAACCTTATTATATAAAAATAAAATTTCAGAAAATTATTACTTTTTAACATACCTAAATTAGTAAGTGTATTATTATAACATGAATTAAAAAAAAAATGTTTAACTAGAAATCTTAAGTTTCATTAATGTCTAATTTAAACTTAAATTCTAAAAGTAATTTATATATATCTATTTTGAAACCTAATTAATATGAGAATATAACCATTTTATAATTATACTATAAGATAACTTATGAATGAATTAATTATATAGTAGGCATACCATTGAAATTGTTATTAAACTGTTTTATGTTTGTTTAGAAACCTAATATTTTTTTTAAAACCTTAGGATAAAAGAAAAAAATATGTTAAATATTACCTCTTGATTTTTTCTTTTCTTGATCATACATGATTACAACTTCCATAACTTTTCCATACCGTGAAAAAAAGGTTCTTAAATCAGTTTCAGTAACATTAGAGGGCAAACCACCCAAAAAAACTTTAGGATAGCTTGAACTTCTCTTTGGTTTTTGCAAAGTTCTAGGATTACACGGTTTTGGGTCGATCTGTAAAATTAAAAGATTTGATAGTTAAAAAGTTAAAAAATTGATGACAATATTATCACTTACAGTGCGGCCATCCAAAACATGCGGTCCATTTTGTAGCACTACATTAACATTATTTGGATCAGCAAATGTGACAAAACCAAAACCTCTTGACCGTCCACTTTCACTATTTTTCATAACAACACAATCAATCACCTCACCGTATCGATTAAAATATCTTTGAAGACTTTCTAAAGAAATACAAATACAAATTCATTATATATTTTTATAACGAAGACGGGGTTTAGTACATTTTAAAACTTTTTGATCACCAAAATGTTTGTTCAACGTATCCCAAAAATTTAATTTAAGAGTTTATATTTTAAAGTTGATTTTGAGTTTGTCCATTTTTTTATTTTAAATGCATATTTGATATAAGAACGCTTACCTTGTTGAGTTTCCCAGCTGAGTCCACCCACAAACAATTTTCTGCAATAATAATATTATATAAATAAAAGTATTATGTTGTTCTGTACAAATGAATCAATACCTAATAATTAGATAAAGAAATTATCGGCCAATATTAATTTATAGTTGTTTGTTATTACATGTTCATGTGAATTCGGTATTTAAAGAAGATATGTATTATTTTGTTTTAGTATTTTAGAATCATATAACATTATTTTTAATTAAACCTGTTATAAATTCTCCAAAAATGTAAAGAACCAAAAAGGAACAACATTAAATTAAAAAAAACAATTGTAGATAATTCATTAAGATAATAAATTAGCTGAATTCTTTGAGTACTTCATTTCAATTTAATATTATTCAATAGTTTATTATTGTTTTTAAGATTATTAAGAACGTTAGGTACCTACATATAATAAAAAAAATTTTTATTTGTTTAAACAAGATAACTATTATAATACACCTACTGTGTATGTCACTGAAACAGGTAACTTTTTATAACTACCTATTTTTGAATATGGGTTTTAGAACATTATACTTGACTACTGACCCATTAATGACTTCAAGAATTTTGTAACTCTTGTATTCTATGCTTGGGTAATAAAACTTTAATTACTTTGAATAAGAAGAATATTATTAATATAGTTTTTGGGTAGGTAAAATTTTTAAATGTTATAATGATGCATTAACTTGTTGAAATTTTAAATCAAAAATATCCTAAATAAGACTAATTTTAATTTTAATTTTAAATTAAAATTTTTTTATGTAAATGTTCAATCTTTGTATTGGAATTCATCAATCTGATCATTATTCTATTTAATTTTTATAAATTTCATTGACGACAATGTTTGATTAGCTCTCATTTAGGTAACTTTGAGTTGAGAAAACAAGTTTATAAAGCATTGCTTAAGAAACAGTGCACCATCTAAATTGTCATTATAGTACGGGTTCACATTTAATAAAAAAAAAATATATTGCATACATGTTGTAGAATACATGCGTTGAAAAATATGGTAGGTTATAGAAATTGATGGCTAGGCTAGTAAAGTTTTATGTTCCAAAACTCAATTCAAAATTTGGTTAAGGTAATGAATTATAATGTTCCATGTTTTTGAGGACACAGTATGAGTAAATTTTACAATTCAAGCACAAATATAGACATTTTCAATAGGAATACTAAAAATTAAATAAATTAAATTTAAGTGATCTACGTATTTTAATATTTCTAATATATGATTATATGATTTTTTCTTTTCACTAACTTTCTTGTTTCTTCTTGAAAATAAGGTGTGTTATAAGTGATACCTAATTGTTTATAGTACCTATAGATATTATTCTTCAATTTACCATATTAAGGTTATAAGTTGAAAAACTAATTTGTGAATGAATATAATACTCTAAGCGGGCATAGAAGGTACATGCATAATTGTTATAATAACCAGCGCTTTGTACATGAATTATGGTTCAAACACCAGATTAAAAAATTTAAAGAAATGTTTCGGTATTAATAACTATTATTGGTAGTTTTACAGCAAATATGATGCGAGGTTGTCCTGCGCAAAACAGTATTTGCTATGTAGTACATTTGTAAGACGGAGACAACACATGGGGGTGTGCCGTCCTCTTAATAAGGTAGATAAATATAAATAATAATATATGCATTAGAGTTAGGTAAAACAGAGGAATATGCAATTGCTCTTATTTTTTGACTAACATGTTCCTTCACATAATAATGTTATGTTATATTTGTGTACTTTAAGTCTCTAGTTATAGGTACCAGGAATTTTTTATATATCTATATAAAAAAACCCGTGGTGATTACACAACAATGAAACATTTTAAATTAGGTTCTATTAGTTTATAAAAGGAATTATACTAAGTAAAATGTATTTAGAACTTTGATTTAACTGTCCTATGCATCATTATTACCCACGGTAAAGGCCAAGGACTGTATTCCTAATAAATGTGACAACTCTTTCACAAATTTTAAAGATGAATTGTAAATAAGCACCAGCTTACGTAACTATTGTAATTTGTTCTTTTCTTTGTAGTTATGATACTTTATAATCTTACAGACATCAAAACTATAGGTACATGCGGGTATGTCATAAACTTAAAAAACATTCAAACATTTAGCACTGGAGTTAAACTCTTAAAACCATTTGTACCTTGACTACATTGAAATAAAATTGAAATAATGTTTTATTATAAAATATGGTAGGTACCTAAATAAAGTATTAAATCATTTAATTTATTACAATACGCTTATGTTAAAACTTTCTGATAACATGTTTAATGACATGACATAACTAATTAATAGATATCTCTAGAAAAATGTGTGGTATACATTTTTTTTATTAGACAAATAAAAATCTAAATAACATAGGTTAGTAAAAAGGTTCATTAGGTTTGTTAGTTAACAATTCATGGGTGTAAGTATGTTGGCATATTAAAGCCGAGTTGCATAAGAATTGTATTTATTTTTGAATGGTAATAATCGTAATCCACTGAATCATGTTCAGAGGACATTAGCTCACTAGTGACTAATTAGATATTTAGTAATCAAAACCGGACATTTCAACAAAAAAAAAAACAGAAAAATAAATAATTTTGATGAGTAAATGTGTCAAGTGAGTTAATGTTACAGTCATACGCTTAGGTCTCAGAATTGACAATTTAAGGAATTATATATTATCAAAAGAGAAGTTACACATGTTTGGAGAAAAATGCGAAATTGTGAAAACGCGTTTTTAAATTTAATAGGCGGCGGCCGTGTCGGATTCGAGCCGGTACTGCTGCGAAAACAAAATGCTCATAACGGCAGAACAGATAGAATTAGTGCGTGGGCGGTAAATCGGAAACGGATAATGTTTAGGTTAAATGATTACGACCATTATAGACGAGTGGAAGACGACGGTAGCCCATCAAACTTACCCTTGTTCGTCCTCTTCTAAATCAGATTTGCCTCTCATCTTGTAGTGTTCTATATTATATTGTATTTATAAAAATATAAAATCAAATGAGTATAAAAAAAAAAAACTATAAAAAGTAAACACAACGGTTGTCAAAGACGTGCAATAATATATGAAAATGTACAAAATTCTTAACGAAACACTAAGGTCTAATAATTGTCCGGCTGTCGGACATTTAGCATATCGAATCGACACAAAAACACGACACGTCCGACGCAAAATGGCGTCCGCATTTTTTCTCTCTCCTAAAATTTCGGCATTTCACGATACGCGGCGTTGTCGCTCTCCCGTCAACCGATTGATCGTTTATCCAACGTCTTTGGACGGACCCGGCGCCGGTTCCAATTTGGGCGCCGATAAATTGAAGTCCGCCAGCCCGAGACCGGCGATCAGCGGCACAGACCGAAATACCGAGAAATGAATTGATATTATGGTCGGTAATCGTAATAATTCTTCGACGAAAGCAGATAAATCCATTAAAAATATTGTCGTCGTACGGCCCCATTAATATTATGTTCGACGCAATATTATTTTGTACCCCGTACAACTTGCCGGGAAATTTAATGCGTCCGTGCGACCGATAAACGTGATAAACCAGCGCGTCACCGACGGAACGGCAACGTCGCGGTCGCGCGCAACACGCTCTGTCGGCGGCTTCGAGTAGACGCGGCTGGACGTTAAGGAGGAAAAAAAAAAACAACAACACGCTACACGCACAATATCATATTGTTATAACACAATTTAATATAATAAATATCTATACGTGTGCGTGTGTCACGTATCGTGTCTGCCATTTTTTCGTGAGCCTTTTCCGGCTCTACTGTCAGTTACAGTGCAAGCAGAACATTCGCCGTGCATTCACCGTTTTTATCGTACCCGACGAACACGGTGCGGACCGACCAGGGACACTCACTCCATCGACGTTACACGGTCTGCGACGGACGCCACCGCGAAGACACGACGGTACAAAGCGCGCGTTTACTCTACGTTAGCTGTCCCGCACGCAACACCACCGGACGCGTCTAATCCGGCGATGTCTTCGACCAAAGTCGAAATAATCGACGACGACGACTCTGGGTAATTGTCTTTTTCTGATTTTTTTTTTTTTTAACATTTGTGTGTGTGTGTGTTTGTACGTTTAACGGTGACCGCGGCCCCGTCGACTGCCGCTCGGCGGGTCCGGAGTTTATGTGACGCCCGTTAAACGGTTTTCATTTGCATTTCCACCGCGATCTACGGTCCGCTTGCGCGGGAAAACGGCTTGCTGGCCGCGGCGTCGAAAAACTATCTTGAAGATCCTTGTCGAAAACTCGGTCGGAAGTCCATCCCGAGTTGACCTCCGTTCGGTTGGTCCGTTTTCGGTGTGAGTTTTAAAATGTCAAAACGCCATGTTCGACATGCATTCTTCGTAATACTTTAACCTCTACTTGAAATTGTAATTTATGAAAAATGTCCAACATTATATCGTAACTTAGTTAATGTATCATTTATTTTTTACACTTTATATCTGATATTCTAATTGGGCACTATCTTTTCGCCCACCTATTTCTAAGTCACTCGAACCCGATGTAACTTATTTGTAATGTCAAGAGTAATATCTTTATTATTTACTGTTGAAATCATTATCAAAATGTTTCATTCAAATTGAAGAATATAACTTATTCCTACCTATATTGTGTTTGTAATTGACTTTTGGCTAAACTATGTTTTGGTTCTTGTGAACCACAAAAATCTATAGTACTAATGTGCAATTAACCAATGATTATTGATTACATATATTTTGTAAGTTTGATTTATCTTTTATCAAAACTAAATATATAAAAATATTGTTTTATCTGATATGCTTTTTCTATCTATCCAATGCATACGGTATATATGGGTATTATAATTTATAATATGCATGAAATGCACTTTTGTTGAGTCTAAATAATTTTGGTCCAACAATATTATTTTAATTGATTTCTATTTTCTGTAAATATATATGTATTTGAGAAACTACTACACTTCACAAAACTATGGTAAGGTGTCAATTATTGATTTATACTGTAAAACTGATTACCTACTTATATGACTACAATGGTTCAATTTTTGATTTAATATTTTTAAAAATTAAGTAGTTAGGTGCCTTAGTTGTTAGAAAATTACAATTTATTATTTAATAGGAACTGATATTTGGTAGTTATTCGTAGGCTTAAGTTTTACATTGTTAAGAAATATTTTTAAATTAAAACAAGATAATTTATTTTATTACACATGTCATTACTCAAGAGGTGTTTTCATAAATTTATTTCCTTAGTCATACTAATAATATGAATTTTCCATTATGATATTATATGTAACTAAGTGTAGACATTTTTAACTTATGAAAACCCTCTTTGAATTATCAACATTAAAATCCCATTCTCCTCATTTGGTTATAATAACCATTTTAGAATTATGTATACCGAAGAACCAAAATATAAACGTATGCGTACGGAAGACGATGAGTCCCGCAAAATGAGTTTAACCAAAAAGTCATTCAACCCAAACTGGTTGAAGTTTACCATGTTCAAAGATTGGCTGATGCCTCATAAATTGCCAGATAAAGCTGTATGCAAGGTTTGTCATTGTGTATTGGTTGCTGGAAAAAGTGAGCTTGAAAAACATTTAGCTACACGTAAACATGAAAGAAACATGGAAAAAATCAATGGTTCTCCTGCTGAACAAGATGATATTGAGACGTATACAATAATTTCAGGTAGAGTATCCTACTCGATAATTGATAGGAAATTGTGTATTCTAAACTGTCCTTCAACGTGCGTAATGATATAACTCAGAATATCACATTTTCAATGTAATTGATGGGTCAGAACCCATCAACTTCACTTTCTTTAAAACAAAAAAAGTCTATTTCAATTTTGATCTTTCTTAATTATATTAAACTCATAAATATATTGAGCAAGTAAATTATGCACAACATATAAATAGAATAGGTTGAAGGCTGAATGGTTCAATATTATATGTGTAATGAGTTTTAATATTTATATATCTTTTGTTTAATATGTTACGTTTTCTATTTTATTTATAAAAATGATTATTTTGGTTTAGTTTTGTATTTTAAACATATGATTTTTTTTTTCTGTACTTGTCTTTAATACTTTTTTCAGGCAATTATTTAGAATAAAACATTATTTTACCTAAATACCTACATAATTAATCACAATTTAAATTGTTTTTGAATAATAACATGATTTTGGTGTTCTTTTTGTTTAAATATTTTCATTTGAGAAATAATATTGGACATTGGCGTCAAATAAGTTTACTAAACTGGTTTAGTTCAGTCTAAAAAAAATTATGTAAACATTGCTGTACATTAGAAGTCATTGAGTAGGTCTCTGTAATGGATGTGTTAAATTTAAATTCAATGACAAATTCATTGTATACAAGAAACAATTCTGAGCAGAGGTTCCTATTAAAGTATACCCTGTCCCAAAAGAGAATAATCACTTTTCGCGCATCACAAATGATTCAATTGGTGCGTTGAGAACCACGTGATCACGTTAACACAGGGAAGTTGGTGGGGGATGCTCGGCACTGATGAAAAACAGTCGGCCAACTGATTATTCTCTTTTGGGACAAGGTATAGTGTATTTTACTATATTATGTAATATGGTATGAATTATAAATAGGGATAAAACTAATATAAACAATTTAAACATTTCATTTCATGTGATACCTTTAAATACAGGACGCTAGTTCGCTAAAATGTGATCTGACATTCAAAGGATTCAGATTGTAAAAAGTTTGTAGTTGGCTCCTGGTGAAACAACTACTATTGGAAGGTATCTGTTAGGAAAGATTTTACTATAGTATTATACATAAAAATGTCAAGTTCCACGAATATGTTGAATTATAACAAAATAAAAAATTAAATTGTTATTCCTTTGTTTAAATATCCAATTTCATAATTTGAGATTAAATATTATTCTTTATATTTTTTAGATTCTTAAGTTTCAGTAAGAAATACTCATGATGAACCTTGTATTACACAAAAATAAATATTGTATCATATATAAGTATAATCAATACAGAAAGAGCCAAATTATTTTGATATTTATTTCATATCTAGTAATAAGCACCTATATAAATATTCAGTGAAAATTGTTGACTCTATTGTTAGTAGTTTTTTAATTACAACAAAACAACAAATTCAATTTTGTTAAAAACTAGTTTTAAGTACAGGGAAATATTTAGTTTTACCCTTACGGTACCAACTGTAAAAGATTAGATTTTCTACCATAAGCTACTTTCAAAGTTTAAAATCAAAGTATTTTGTATCTATTAAATTACTATAAGAAGTGTCAAAAAAAAAAAAAAAAAACCAATACATTCAATGCTCTGCTCAGATTCTAAAATTATTTTAAGATTTGTTATTTATTTTTATAATAATTGTGTGAAATTTCAAGTTTGAAGTTTCTTTATCCATTTGTATAGTTGTTATATTTTATCTTGAGAAATACGGCATTTCGACATTTAACAATATTTTTTACTGTAGTAAGTTATAGATTTAAGTTATTTTATTATTATGGTTTCACATGTTAATTTGATTCAGTTAATTTATAATGGGAAATATAAAGTACTAGGCTACTTAATTAGTTTATATGTTATTATTTTTTGCAGCAGATGAAATTCAGTAACCCGCAGCACTTAGGGAATTTCAAAGTATTAGAAGCAGAAAGACAACAAAATACATTTTAATATTAAAATAATATTGTTTGATTCTACGCAATGTCTAACAATCAACAACACGAAGAATATACAATTTTAACAACAGGCTCAAACAACCGTGGTCAAATGTCACAACCTCATCTTACATTTACACCGCCCACTCAAGTATTTCGATCTGAATGGCAACGGTTTCCAGAATTTCATGCTTGGTTGCGGCCAATTGATGGGGATGTAACAAAAGCTTGGTGCATTGCATGTGAACGAATGTTTCGTGCTGATTTAAAATCTTTACGGGTTCATGGTGTAAGTAAAGCTCATGTGCGTATGGTGCGTGCTCGTTGTCCTAATGCAGATGACAATCCTATACCACCAATTGAGTATAATGTAGTGACTGACAAAAAAGGAACTTACGGCATAGCTGTAGTGACTAATAAGGAAGATAAATCTTCACTTGGATCAAGAGCATTATATATGAATCAAACAAATCCTACTGAAGAAATAATTACATCTGAAATGGCTGCACAGTCACAACGAGACAAATATGTTGTGGTATCATTACCCAACGAAGATGATGATGACAATGAAGGTCCACAAGCTTCTAGCTCAAATACTCAATACATACAAAAAGAAGTGAATGTAATCGACGAGACTGGTAATTTGGTGTCTGTGGTTACTGAACATCATGTACAAAAAAATAAAGGTAAAATTTTGGTGTCCAGGTCAGAGCTGCAATTATAGTTTTATAAGAAAAAAAGCGTTTTATTTTGGTATTTATAATGTTGAACAGTAATAAATTTAAATATTATTTAGGGCAAATAAACAAAATTTTAAATAGGTAATTGCATTAAAAGGTTTAAATTAAATATAACTTCCCAAAGAGGGTTTTCAAGTTCAAAGGTCCAAGTGTTAACATAAGGTTTTAGTGCATGTGTGTTGTACATTATAGCAGTACTTGTCATGTAAAATTAAACTAATTAAATTCCTCAGAAAGCAGGACAGCCAGGTTGAATCTGAGATCAAATCAAATATTGCTGAAGCACAGAAACAATCTGCTGATGAAGATGACATAGCAATTGAAGAAGTTTTGACCCCACTACGAATAAAACAAGAATCAGCCGCTAATCGTGCTCACATGATGAAACGAAAACGAGGCTTACAAAAGTATCGTACAGACTGGGAAAAATTGTCTGAATTCAAAGGCTGGTTGTCACCAGAACCAAAGAGCTGCTATAAAGCTCGATGTGAAGCTTGTGACAAAAGTCTAGTTGCTGATATTACAGTCTTACGAAATCATTCACAGGCTAAAAAACATGTGATGAAAACTGGGGGCACAGTTTACGAAGGTCCAATTGTTAGAAGCAAATCAAAACCTAAGACAGATGATGATGATGATGAAGATTCGCCTGATGACTTACAAATGAAATCTTTGAGCATTAAAGGTTTGAATATTGGGTATTTTTTGTATGTCTCCTTGAGTTTATAGCTTTTAATTTTTAATTAAAAATGTCATTGATAATGAATAAATAATCTAATAATTATAGTTATATATTAATAATTTTATGAAGTAAATTCTTCAAGCTATAAACTCTATTGTCATACATTTTCTATTAATTAAAAATAACAATTGAAGATCATCAATCATTGTATTTAAACGATTTAGATTTTGTTTTATTATTATTAAGTAATTATAATTTTTTATATCAGTGTTAGTTTTGGGTCTTCAGTTGTGGAAAAACGTGTTTTGACCTATTTATTTATAATTGGTCAGAGCTTACGCGTTTGATGTTGTATTTTATAGCAAATATATTTTGTGTATTAGGTAAATAATAAATCCAAAAATTAGTTTGAGACCGTATGTTTGAAGGACAGTTTTAATCAACAAGCCCTGAAAAAGTTGGTCAGAGCTTTTATTACCGTGTACATTTATATTATAAAACAATTATTTATTATGTTAATACTTGTGACCTTGATAAACTTTTTGTTATAACTTATAAACAATCTATAAAATAAAATTACTCGTGTTTAATTCTTATATTTTTAAGTGGCATAAATATATTTGAAGTAATTTTAAGAGAAATTTCTTTTTTAAATGTATATGTCTATATATATAAATAGTATATACATATAATCATATATATAACCGAAAAATTGCAGCTCTGACCGATTTTAATAAATGGTTGTTTTATTTAAACATCTGTTTGCCATATAATAACATTATTAAATTATAATTTTTTATTCAATAGACAATGATGATGATTATGAAGTGGGTCTTCAATCAAATGACTATCATAGCACATCTAATTATGAAAAAATGGACCAAAAACATGATGAAATCCAATGCAAAGCTATTGGTATGTTTAAATTAGAAACTAAAACAAAGTTTAACAACTGAAATGATGTAATTTTTTATTTTAGTTTCCAAACCTGCTCCATTTTGGAAAGCCACAGCTGTTGTTAATGGTCATGTGACAGAGTTAAAATTAAGTGACTACAGTGGACGTTATTTAGTCCTATTTTTTTATCCTCAAGATTTGTAAGTTATATTCAATATTACAATTTAACTAGTTTTAAGTTAAATAGGTTGATGAAATAATATTAATATATTATGTTATTGAGTTATTCATTATGTACTTTGTTATGGATGAAATAATTACTAATTTGAGCTGAATGTTTCTTTTATAAATTAACAAAAATGATGTTATGTTAACACCTGTTCTTTTATAACAACCTTGTAAAAATTCGGTATGTCTCAATTTTCTTATGCACCTAGTTACCGTTGGTAAACCGTTACTTAGGTTACAAAATAAGATGCAAATACTAGTTATAGTAAGTTTGTATGTGCAGAATACAATTATTATTCATAAGATTTAATGTAAATAAAATACCACATGAAATTTTTCTAAAATTTTTAGTTGGTTTTTAACATGTGATATTTTAAAACGGGGGTATCAGTTAAGTTTTCATAATAATACTATGTTTTATTATTTTTATTTATCTTTTGTTAGGGGATAGGGAAATATGACACATTTTAATATGAATATAAATAAAAGTTTAAAAATATAACAATATTCAATCACCAATTCTAATACCATTATCATTATAATAATTCACCAAATAATTTTAAATCTTGTGCCCAATCTAATACCGTACTTCAAATTTATTGAGCACACGGCTTCGCATTTGGGCCATACTAAATTGTTAATACTTTTATGTGATCTACATTTATGTTTATAGATCCACTTCAGTTGTAACAAATAATTTTTAATTTATAAAGATCGTTTTCAGAACTTGTGTATTATTAAAGAAATGTCCTAATAAGCCCACTCTAATACCGTACTTCAAATTGATTGAGCACACGGCTTCGCATTTGGGCAATACTAAATTGTTTATACTTTTATGTGATCTACATGTATATTGATAGATTCACTTCAGTTGTAACCAAATAATTTTTAATTTATAAAAATCGTTTTCAGAACTCGTTTCTTTTAAAAAAAATTTCTTAATATGCCCACACTAATACCGTACTTTAAATTTATTGAGCTAACGGCTTCGCATTTGGGCAATACTAAATTGTTTATACTTTTATGTGATCTACATTTATGTTGATAGATTCACTTCAGTTGTAACCAAATATTTTTTAATTTATAAAAATCATTTTCAGAACTCTTTTTTTTAAATTTTCTTAATATGCCCACACTAATACCGTACTTTAAATTTATTGAGCTAACGGCTTCGCATTTGGGCAATACTAAATTGTTTATACTTTTATGTGATCTACATTTATGTTGATAGATTCACTTCAGTTGTAACCAAATATTTTTTAATTTATAAAAATCATTTTCAGAACTCTTTTTTTTAAAAATTTTCTTAATATGCCCACACTAATACCGTACTTTCAATTTATTGAGGTAACGGCTTCGCATTTGGGCAATACTAAATTGTTTATACTTAAACATGATCTATATTTATGTGTATAGATTCACTTCAATTGTAACCAAATAAATATATATATTTTAATACTTTTTACTTCTTAATATTATATTTTACCCTTGGCCTTACCCCTTGCTAAGTGACCAAATCTATCTTTTGGTCCAAAAAATATATATTTTATCATTACAAAAGAATTCTTTAAGTTAATATTTTGGAAAAGTTAAAAAAATTATATTTCTTCTAAAATCAACATAGTAATATTAACTTTAATATATATTGTCTTTTTCAATTGTTTATAGTTCCCGTATTTGTCCAAGTGAGCTGATTGCTTTAAGTGATAGAGTATCTGAATTTAGGGCACTAAATACTGAAGTAGTTGCATGTTCTGTGGATTCATATCTTTCCCACCAAGCATGGTCTCGTACATTGCGCTCTGATGGAGGCATTGCCATACCTAAAATGCCACTACTATCTGATCCAACACATGTCATTAGTAAAAGTTATGGATGTTATTTATCAGAACTTGGCCATTCTCTCAGGTGATTTGATTTCTGAGTATCACATTATTATTATCTTGAATTTTTAATTTATATATTGTGTTTATTTTCAGAGCTCATTATATAATAGATATGAGGGGTATTTTAAGACATGTGACAATTAATGATCTACCCGTAGGCCGGAATATCAGTGAAATATTAAGACTTTTAGAAGCTTTTCAATACACTGATGAAACAGAAACATTATGCCCTGCTGATTGGAAGCCTGGCGATGCAACTATATCATAATTGTATTATTATTTTTATTATTATTATCACTACTGCTAAGCTATATTAAATTTATATTATTATTATAGTTATTTATACCACTGAATAAAAGTAAATTTAGTTAACGTAACAACTCTATAATGAATTATATTTTCTTCATGATACCCTGTATTTTGACATTCATATTACATGTACAATGTACATCTACAATACAATTGAGAAATATTATGCAACTTGTATTTATTTTTAACAAAACTGTTCCAAATAATGTTGGTAACTGTTGTCATAACTGCTGTGAAACAATGTATCTAATAAATAAATAAAGATCATTTTTAAATAATGTCAACCATTTATTTTTCACTTAATTCATGCCTGACATCTACAAATATACGAATTGTTTTATGTAGTCTTCAATTTTGTACAAAAAGAAAAATACTTAACTGTACATGACAATAATATTCACGCGCGATAATATTTACAACGTGTCCATTCAGTTCCAATAAACACTAAATTTTTTTTATAAATATATCATAATCTAGGTAAAACAAAATTTGTTTCTTTTGTAAAAAAAAATTATATATATCATATATTAAATTAAAATAATAATAATAATTATTATTGAAATAACATATTTTATATTACATTATTAATTAATATAGTCTACTTACAATTCATTTTGAGGCAATTTAACATTATTATTTTCAGGTTGAGATAAATTAAAAAATAAATAAAAATAAACGCACTTACAACATTATCATTATTAATATTATTATTTTCTATAGACACATTTTATTATATACAGTACAATACAAAGTATAAAATATTTTTTTGAAATATTAAAAAAAAATAAATAAAAATCAATGTTACATTTTTTAAGTATCAGTTTTGACTAATTTATAATAACCCCCACAAAAATTTATTTGGGACATTATATACATAAAAAAAAGAAAAGTGTTCACTATACACAATGTTTTATGCGGAAAATGTAAACTATTTATAGGCTATAATATAAATATTAACAAAACCTCAATAATAAAGGAATTAACATTATTGATTAGCTTGAAAAAAATTCTAAAAACAATCACACGGTCAGTCTCTTTGTTTGATTTGTCTAAGGATTTTAATTTTTATATATATATAATATTTAAATTTCTTAGTTTTTTTGTTTTTGTCCAACTCATTCAAAACAAAAGATTCCCGAAATTTGTTTGCGTAAAATAGTTAACTATTTTAATCAATTCAATTATAAATAAATAAACATAAACAAAATTAATTTTCAGTATGTGTTAAAAATAACCGTTATACAACTTTAAATGAAAGAGTAAATCTGGAAGAATAAAAATTGTATTGGTTGGTATTGTTATTGGGCGAGAGGAGACGGCGTATTTCTGGAACATTGGAATAGGACTCGCGATATGAGAGCCGCCACTTGCTGGTCGAGTATTTGGCTCATTACTAACGATAGTAACCTCTGCTCTTGTTGCAAGAACAAAGGTCTGTTGTCTGGATGTCTAGATAACAGCAACAATATGCGCGCTGCTCTCCTCAACATGTCTAAGCTAGTTCCCATTGAATCGGGATTATCGCGGAGTGCATTCAGCCCATGAGTGTTAACCACACTCAAAGCATTCTGTTCAGTCTGTTCAATAAATGCTACCAGTAATGAAACACATGGGCTTTGAAGCGCTATCGTACGTGCCATACCACTGTCTGCAGCCGCTAAGTAGTGTAACAAATTTACTGCAAATTCCCTGAGTACCTGGTAAATAAAATTATTCTAATTAGTTTTAAATGAATTTGGTTGCTTATGATAAGACACACAGAGACAAATAGCATAACTTGGCAGTTCCAAATATCATTCTACTTCAGTGATAATAATTTAAAATTTTTTGTTGTTGTCTCCGTCTAACAAGTGCGTAACATAGCAAATTCTACATTCAGCAGAACGAATTGGTTCGGTTAGGTTATTGGTTGGTTTAAAAATTAGAGTGAATTAGACCTCTTGTCAAATCTAAAGGTAAGATTATTATCTAGACAATCTCATGTGCTTTTTATTATATTTTAATTTTATAGCGAGCCATGCGTGTTTTAAAATTGTAAATTGTTTGTACATCTTAAAGCACTCATAACTCGCTTAAAAATTAAAATATAATAAAAAGCACATGAGATTGTCTAGATAATAATCTTACCTTTAGATTTTATAAGAGGTCTATTCACTCTAATTTTTAAACCAACGGAGCTACAAGCGTTCTGCTGAGTGTAGAATTTGCTATGTTACGCACTTGTAAGACGGAGATAACACATGAGGGTATCACATCCACTTGATTAACCAAGGAATACAGAACTAAGATTTAAACCATTTTGGAACTAACAATTAAATATATTTAGCATAACCCGTTAACTATTACCCAGTGAGCAGTTTATATTTTTACAAACATGACTTACTTGTTCTTCAGTCCTGCATAATAACCGGGTGAGGACATTGGCCAATTTTTCTAGTCGTGAGTAAGGTGGAGTAGCGATGACCAGATCTACATTATTATCGGTAACACACAACTTGCATAGACATTCTAATGCTAGTCGCTGAGGTGAGAGAGGTGCTGAAGGAAACGGATCCTGGCCTGCAGCTGCTGGACATATAGCCCAATGTAGCAAACCATCCAAAATAGGACGCGAAATATCTTCATTGAAAGTGCTCAAATCAACGTAACCAGCAATGTTAGCCAAAGAAACTAGCAAGTTTTCCCTGACAACGTCTAAATAATCCCACCACCACTTGGCGTCATTGCCTGGTTCAATTGTATCGGCATCCGTTGTTGTAGTGCAATTGAATAAAGACTCCGTGTCATCGTCAGCTTTATCATAATTCCTAGTTTTGGACGAGCGTAGCGGATGTTCGTGGTGAGTTAATAACAGCTTGCCAACCAAACCAAGAAATGGGCCACTTTTTGCAAACTCTAATTCATTACCAGGAACAAATGAAAGATTTCGTAAGATATTCGATATGCACACACACCGTTTACCGATGGAATCTTGGCTTTCGCTAATTAATGACAAGCTTGACTCATCTTTAGAATAACTTTCATCTTCGTAGTCTGTAATGCTCTTACGCTTCAGTACACCCATTGGATCACGTACATTAATATTTTTTATATTTACAATATTGTCAATACTGTTTTGTACTAACTCCTTATCATCTAATTCTTTTTTTATACATGCCTTATCATCTAATATTTCTTCTTTAGGTTTTTCACTCTTTAATAGTTTGACAAATGGCACAAGACCAAACTCTGAACGAAAACAAGGCACAAGGAAACTTGTATCTGTTTCAGCAATGTTATATCCCATGTCATAATTATCAATTACATCCCATGATCTCTTGCCATTTTTTATAAATAATTCTTTAGATCCATCAATAATTGCGGAACTCTTAATTGGTCGTTGATTAGGGAAGGCAGGATCAGGAAAATATGCTTTTTCGTTTGGATTTACATTATCTACAGCACCAACATCTGGTATATCTTCTATCACTTTTGATTTTTCATACCAGCAATACGATTTGATATCTGTTTCTAGCATATCAACCAATGACTGCCGAAAATGTTCTAAGAGTACATCTAATAATCCAGGCATGTGTGTTAGTCCAAAAAAGGGTATAGACACATCATCAAACAATAATATATTGAGCACATCCAAAGCCCAAGTAGACTCAGCTAAAAGACCTGAACGTAAAGACATCATCAATCGCCATGCATCCACGGGTGCAACATCATGTCGCATCATTCGACGTCGTTTATAAAGGATTGGTGTTACAGCTTCTATACTATCAGGAGGGAAAATAACTTCTCGCTTCATTAAGCTACTGCCTTGGAACATTGGTTGCCCTGGCATTCCAGGCTATATAAAAATAAAAATAAAAACATTATTTAAGTATATAAAATACCTTAGATCATAAACAATAGATGGAGCCATGCACATCTCACCCATGTCAACAATTTGACTCACACATAAACAACGACTCACTGTATTAGAGATTCAATATGTGCATGTGTGAGGCGAATTGTTGCATATTTAGTCGTTTGGTAGCTAATTTATTTATATACATATATAAATTCAAATAGATAAAGAAGCTACATCAAGCTACTTCAAGAGTGTGATATTTTTTGGTATTAAGTGGATTACACACTAGGCGATTCGAACGCGCGTTTTGAACGTAGCGATTAACCGCCCAAAATTAAACATATACTTTTATATGGGCTTATTCACACACGTAAATGAGACGCGCGTTCGAACGTACATGTTTAATTTTGGGCGATTAATTGCGACGTTCAAAACGCACGTTCGAATCGCCTAGTGTGTAATCCACTTAACACAGATTTTTTGCTAATATGTGTTTCAAATTATCAGGATATGGGTCCTACTAATATAGTCTCTCAGGAGATATAATTACTTGGGTTATTGTTATCTTTATATTTAAACAAGTTAAAGAAATACTACATGTTCATTAAAAGGACGCTACACAGACAATTGCAGTCTCCGTCTTACATGTGCGTAACATAGCACATTTACGCTCAACAGATCACGTTAAGCTCCGTTAGTTTAAAAATTTTGTGAATCGACCTATAATGAAACTTGATGGGAAGAACATTATCTGTGTTTGTATGTGAGTTGTTTACAATAATTCAGTTTTTAAGTGAGTTATGAGCATTTTTAATTTACGCTATATTATATATGCATAACTTGCTAAAAAATTGAACCGTATAAAACCCACAAAATATCACACCATCAAGTTTCATAATAGGTCAAGTCACTCTAATTTTTAAGCTAATGTAGCTAACCGTGATCTGCTGAGCGTAAATTTGCTATGTTACGCACTTGTAAGACAGAGACAACAAATAGCCGTGTAGCGTCCTCTTAGGTGATAAATAAGAAAACTAAAATATTATAAGGAGTACAAATAAAAGAATCTTATAGCTAATTTTTAACCTAACCTAACATAATTGACAGCAGTTTAATAATGA